ATAGGAGACAACGTCACGTTTGACGCTGGGCCTGCCTGAGCCCGCAGTTATTATTTCGAAGGGAGGGGGCGGGGGGAGGTTGAGCAGCAAGCTCGAGCGCGTTACGCGTGATTGCACCGACTTTACAAGGAAATTCCTCGAGGGCTGCGCCAAGACGGAGGAGAAAAAAAGTTCTTCGTGTGGATTTCTTAATTAAAGCATGATCCCCGGCAGCAGATAGCTGTCACTCCAGATGGTCAATTAACAGGTGGCAAACTATTATTTTCCATTTCTTTCCAGGGGAGTTTGCACATTAGCCGCCGCCGCGCGTGTTTTTGTCGGAGCAATGAGATCATTACAGTGTTTAAAGCCGAAGGCGCACACTCGCGCCGAGGCTCTTCTTCTTTTTCTTCGCAGCCGAGGCGACAATAATTTCACTTAATTAAATTCCGCTCTGACTCTCGCGCGCGACCGAGAGGGACCCTCCGTGACGGAAAAGGATCTGTCACTGATTTTTCTTTTTTTTTTCTTTTCTATTCGCAGCAGCCCCCTGTCCTCTGTATCCATCCTGTTCCTCTTTGAGGGAGCAATCTACCGAGCTCTCGGACAAACTATTCGCCTCGTTATTTCTCTTCGGAAAATTTGTGTGGAGCCGCGCGAGCGCGCTTTGAAGAATCAATCTCGGCCGGTCGTTTTCACGGCGAGTAATTGATATTCAGGTGCCAAGGAGAAAAATCAGCTTTGGGGCGATGGCGCGCGGGCGTTAAGAGCGTCATTCCGCGATAACCGGCAGCGACGCCACCGCGCCGTGGGCATAAAAAGAAATACGGTCGCGGCGGTCATTGCAGGAAGGAGAGCTCGAGGAGCGGTATCAAGCGGGCAAAGCGACGCCGGCTTCTTATTACCACTTCATCTGCAATTAACATTTATAACCGCGCTACCCGACAGACGCAACTTTCTCAGGCAACTCGTGGAAAAACTAATTAAATATTCCCAAGAGACACAAGGGGGGGGGGGGTCGGCAGTCGCGAGGAGGAGCAGCCGTCGACAGAGCGTTATACATTTAATTAAATAGTTCGTCTCTTTCTCTCTCGCACTTTCTTTCGCCTCCGCTCTCGCCTCCGCTTTCGGAAAAACGTCTCCGCCGCAGTAGCGATAAATCTTACGTTCGAGTTTGACGAGTCGCCGTCATAATGAAAAGGCGCGGGCACGACTTACGAGGCAATTAGAGACGTGTAAAACGGCTTAACTACCGGCCGCAATCAAATTTCGCGCGCGCTCGCCTCTCGCCCGCGTCGGTGTGTACAGAGCGAAGGCTCGAAAAAAAAAAGAAAAAAAATGGATAAAAGAACCGAGCTCAACTCGCTCGTTAGCAAGATCAACTTTGCGAAAATTGGATTAAACTTCAAAGGCCCTGGTGAGCGCTTCTTATTCATCGAGAATCGAACGAAAGGAGAAATTTTTCCTTCTCTCTTTCCGCAGATGAACTTTATTTGCAAGCCGAAAGACGAGCGCAAGCAGGACGTTACGCTGACGTTCCGTCCTTTAACGGCGATCGTTGAAGCGAGCGAAATGGCTGTCGTTATAGGCGCAAAATCTTTCGCGCGGCTGCGGCTACGAGCCCATTATTTCGCGCGCGCCGCGCACAAATTTTACGCCGAAAATTTTGTTGCGTACGATTAGCTAAATGTATATCGCGCTTTCACGAGCTCATTTGGCTGCGAAACGCGCGCGTCTCTCTCGTTTCACAAACGGTTTCCCCGAAGCGCTCTTAGACGCGCACCGTCTTGCGCCTCTGCTTTTGTTTCACGGATGCGAGAGTAAGAATAGCCGATGCGAAATCAACTGAGAAGCTGCGCTAATTAAATACCGATGTGTAACCGCGATATGTTATTTCTAACGGCAGTTCTGTAGAAAGATCCACAAAAGTCGAAAGTAGATTGAAACAAGCAATGACATTCATACGCGAAATTAATAAAAGCAATAATTTACTGCTTTATCGATGCATCTCGGCGAACAGACAACGTCGCTGACAAGTGAGAGAATGAAAATGAAAAATTGACGATGCAATGGGATATATCTCGATTGTGGATGCACAATCAATATTAACATAACAAACAAGGATACCTAGAAAACGACTTTGATTGAATTCCCGCGCGACACATCCTTCTCAAAATTTCAACATTTAAAGCGGCTTCGTCGCACCAACAAAGAATTCATCAACTTCTGTTTTCTAAAAGACCGTGTGAGATTTAGGGATAAATCAAAAAGAAAGCAACGCTATCGCTGTTTACGCGCCTTTTCTTTGAATAATAAAATCGATGAAAGACGTGTTCACGGTGAGATGGCTAAAGAGATTGAGCCCGAGTGAAATAATTTCGGGAAAAACGGAATGACCGTATGTACACGGCACAAAACCGAACAAAAAAAAACGAGCAGCAGCGGTGCAAAATAAAAAAAATCTCGGCAAAGTATATACAAACACACGCAAGAGACGAATGAAAAGGGAGGACATATCGAGAGAGAGAGGGAGAAGAGTTTTCGTGCGGGATAGGTATAATCTGCAGGTGCTTTTGTGCGAATCCGCAGTGCGACTATATAAATACGCGATTGCTGGCGTTACTACTATCCGTATGGCTCGCGTGCGCGTATGCGCTTTTGACCAAATTCCCAGCGCGAGTTTCGAAAAAAAAAAAAAAAAAAAAAGCGAAGCGAGGAGAGCAAAGCGAGCGCCCGAATGAATATTGGAATCGCGCGCACGGAACAAAGTGGAGCGGATATTGAAATATGTTTTCGACGACTGTCATAGAGACTCTCTCTCTCTCTCGCCCTCACTCTCCTATACCGCGTATAAACAAATCCACGCGTTTCGCTCGACGCCGCTGCTCTCTCTCTCTTTTTTTTTCGGATGGTTGGATCGACAGTGTCGCCCGGAAACAATATAATTGCGAGCTAAGTTGTGCAGCTATTGAGTTGTCGACGTTGTGATCTGTATCGAGCGAGTTATTGATTAGCGCATACATGAAAATTCAATTTACTGGCGCGCGATTCATTTTTTTTCTTTGCGCGCGATGTGCAGCTTGTCGTTTTCACGGCCCAGAGTATCTTGTTTATGAGACAGATTGATTTCGATATACTTTGTGTGCTTTTTTCACGCTCTATTTTATTGCTTGACGGCCGGTCAGTTTGATTATAATAAATAATATCCGATCAATCGGAGACAACGTTTCATGAAATATTTAACAGTAAATAATAACTTATTCATTTTATACAGATTGATTAAAATGGATAATAAGAATTGTAGGGGTATAAATGGGCAAATTATGCGAATTTCAAAATCTGTTTCTACTTTGAAACGTACTTTCAAGTGATACATTCATAACGAATTTTTAGTATTTCGACTTCATTCTTAAAGCGAATTGCTTTCTTTTGTGAAGTACAAAAGAAACGTTTGTTACAAATAAAAAGCTACTCATTCATTGATGCACACCCATTAATAACTATTTACGAAACATGGGATAAGGTTGATACCCATCGAATATCCGCAAGTAATCAAAATTTTTTCTTTTTTTTTTCACCAGCGATTTGTGTGTCAATGTTGAAAGTTCGGCCATTAATCATCAAAAAATGGCAAGCTATCCGCCCGCAATACTTTCAAGCGGCCAATCTACACGCCACGCAGCTGCAATCATAGCAACGCAACAACAAAAAATATTTGTCTTGTCCCTGGTGAACGAAAAATGGAAAAAAAAGCATATATGGATGCCAACGACAAAGTAACAAATGTGTCTTTGTAATGAACCGTTAAACCGAGAGAGAGAGAGAGAGAGAGAGAGAGAGGGAGGGAGAGAGAGAGAAAGCACATCGAGTGCTATGCCCATGTAAATGCAGTCAAATTCAATCTGTTTTCGCGCCACATTCGTCGGTGCGCAGTGCTTTATTGCCAAGCGCGCGTGTTATACTTTCGCGATGTCGGAATTATTACTGTCAAGAGTGCTGTAATAAAAGGGTCGAACTCTGAGTGCTCCCGTTTCGTTCCGTTTCATAACCGTGTTTTATCTAAACGGGATGGCTTTTTAATTGCCTTTTAAAAATCATCCGAGTGATTTTTAAAATTCGTTTTTTTTTTCGCTCTCGATGATTTTATATGTCTATTTGCTAATGCGAATGTGCGTGTTTGTCCTGTAAATTCTCATATAATGTCGCGCGGAAATTTTTGATGGAGGACCGAGATCTATATTGGATTGAACAAGTTGCTTTGATGGGAAAAGCTTTATAATTTGAATCGAGTAATTTTACAGGCACGGCATACAAATATTTGTCACGGATACATTTCGCAAATATCAAAGCCTCACGGTCGACGAAAATGCAGAACGTCAATAAAGCGTGCAATTTTTGCACGGCGAAAAATATTCTTTTCGTGCGTGATGCCGAAGGAACATCGTTGATCCGCGCGCTATCACGTCTTGATGAATGTCGATGACTGCAAGTCCTTTATCTAAATTTGTGCAGTGGCAAAACTTTAAGAGTCCTTGAGAAACGCAATACAATCTAATGTGGTAATGACAAAACCCCTCTAAGAGATTTGGCCAAGTTTTAGCTAATGGAAGATTATTTTGGCGTTAAATTGCGAAGGAGAAAGAAAAAAGGACGAGATTATAACCCCGTGAATCCTAAATGATAAGAGTCGCGGAGAGGACAGTGTGTAGAGGAAAAATAATATCCCATTATCCGCAGCACTTACCAAGATTAATATTTCTTGTGGTTCAGCGCTAAGTTTCGCGGATAAAATCGCAATTAAAAGAAAGGACATCGAGATAAGCATGCTGGTTAGGTCGCAATCGGTAATGAAAGCAAGGAGAAAAGAAGGACAATCTAAGCTTATATGTGCAGATAAGGGGGGGGTGAATGTTTAAAGAAAAATGGCAAAGATTATAGCGCTGCTTGGTTAATTGGTGCAGGCGTGTGCAGTGAGAAATACAACAAAAGGTGCATGGCGATTTGTTGACTTAGTGGCCTACCTTGGTCGAAGGCAAGGCAGCGGGTGGTCTTGGCGGCAAGCCCTGGGGGCAGTGCGAACCTGTAGGCCGGGTTCAGAGACATCAGGCCAAGACCCAACGCCTCCGCGCCGCATCGGCCACCGAACACGTTCCCCACTAAAAATCCACCCGTACATACAAACAAAACATTAGGCTCGTCAGTCCATTGTCTTAGTTGCATTATGTGTATCATCAGCTAATTGGTTTCAGTTATTTACGAACAAGTGTCTACATACGCAAGGAAGAGTTGACCATGTCTTTTATATTTATTATCTGCTACTGAAACAATTTCAAACACATTAATTGTATGATTACACTTTTATGGATCTTGTGTATTTGTGTGAGATTTATCAAAGACTGCTATAGTGTTGATTTTCAGTGTAATGTTTATAGCAAGATATCGACAATACACATTGCTGATATGCAGAAATGTTACATTTTTAATTTATCCTAATACTTGTTATCAGTTGATTCTGAACAATAGCAATAGCGTGTGCACTCTTACAACACTTTTATCAGGACCAAAAAAAAGATCGACAATGGCAACTCTTCCGCGAAAGGACAGCGTTTACCTGAGAAATGTTAACAAAAAGACGCGCGCGTACATAAACGATGTGATGAGAGAAAGGTAGAGATGAGGACAAATCGATATCCCAATTAACGAGAAAAACACACGCATTGCAGACAGACGGAAAGAAGGAACGAAGTTGATATTGTCGAAGTTATTAATTCTAATCTCGTTGAAAAGAGATGCTCCAGGCAGGGATTAAAAGAGATCGAGAGAAAGGAGAGAGAAAGGACATGAATACAAGAGAGCGAGAGAGAGAGAGAGAGAGAGAGAGAGAGAGAGAGAGAGAGAGAGAGAGAGAGAGAGAGAGAGAGAGAGGAGCAAGGATTACAGGGATCAAATGTGTGTCACGTGACTAAAGCACGCTTATCGGCATTATTATGATCTGGCCTGCGAGATACGCAGATCGCGCACACTGACTTTTCTCTCTCGCTGACTTTATTGCTTTTCAGCGCTCCACGCACGTGCCGGACGAGAAAGACCTGCTCCTCCTCTTTTTGTCCGATCGCGCGTCTCAGCCGTCGGTTTCTTTTGTGCCGCGCGCGCTCGGATTTTTTTCTGTTTTTTTTTTTCCTCCGCTGCAGAGACCCTTCAGCCCTCGAAAGCAAGAAGGGAGAAGGAGAGACGCGCGCGGATAATGTATACCGGGTGAGATGCCTCGCGATAACATTTGCATTGATGGACGGATTTTTGCGCTCGCCCGTGCACGTCGACGCCGCCGCATGATATTTAGAGCGGCGAGCGCGCGGCGGTACGGAAAATTGAATGCAGTGCGGTGGCTCGACGTTAGCCCCTAAATAATCGACGACGAGCGCCCGTCGACGCCGATGAAAAAGCGCAATCGCCCAATGCCGGAAATGGCATATATAGCCGGCGCGAGAAAGCGAACGCGAAGTAGACGCGTCGATATCGGAGGCAAGTAGCGTCGCATCACGAAATAACGAAGCCGGCGCTGATTGACGCCCGGCTGGGCAGCACCAACAGCAGCAGCAGCAGCAGCAGCAGCAGCGGAGGGTCGGCGCTCGTGACTTTGTCAACGCGCGCTCTAATGCCGGCAGCCGCTGTCACGCGCCCGCAGCACTTCACGCTAATTAGCGGCGACGTGATTTTCCAAAATTACACGGGGGAGTGGGCGTTAATTGCCGCAGCGCGGCTCTCTCGCTGCGAACCAGCGTCGGCCTGCCGAAAGCAGTCTCATTTTTTCCATGCATTATTCAATTCCTCGCGTTCCAGATTGAGATCTTACAGGTGCGCGCGCGCGCGCGCGCGCGCGGAGAGACACGAAGATTCATTGCCGACATTGTCTCTCTGACGAGAAAAGGGGTTTATGTCCTCATATTTTATTTATCGCGCGCGCGCGCGAGAGAGAGAAAGAGGAACTCAATTCGAAAATGATTTTTTGCCGGTGCGTTGGGTTGCACCTGAGAAGAATGCGTGCACGGCGACATCCGAGTTGAGCGAAGGACACACGAGCCACTTCCCTCGGCTTCGCTCCGCGGCGAGCGGCAAACGGCCGAGTGTTATTCCACGCGCCGTGCGAAACAAGTGCGCGGCGCGTGGGAGAGCGAGATTGTGTATTACGCTAATCGATTTGGCAGCCGATTGCCGGAAACGAGGCCATCGTCATCAGCGCGCCCGAGCGCGTTTAGCCTCGGCGAAGAATCGTCGCGCGCCCGCGGCCTGCCAATTGCGGTTCGCCGTTGCCTCGCGCCGAGCGCTTCTATGCGTGCCGGCTATTGCGCCCGTGTGCCATTCGCGTCCCCGTAATTTCTTTCATTGCGCCGTTCGCGCGCTGGGCTCTCCCGCCGCTGCGGCTGTTTGATTTTCAAGCTGCGACTGGGCGTGCACCGAAATTTTCGCGTGTCGACGGTGAATACGTGGAATATTTTATTCGCCGATCAACATTCAATCAGGCGCAGATGATCATTGATATCACTTGAATGATCGGCTTTGCCGTTCAGGTGGCCGTTATCACGAGTGTTCTCAATTGCAAATTTTCCTAATAATAATTCTCACTCCTCTAAAGTGTCTGCTAACATTTTTGGAAATTTTCCATGCAGCCAATTCAACGATCATTCGAATTACTTCGCTTCGAAGTCAAGTGTTTGCCGGTACTGTGATCGCACGCCAGCAACATCGTTTTAGCATCATTAAGCATCGTAGGAAAACTGAAACGATACATTAGAACTATATTGACACCGTGAGCGCGTCAAAGTGGAAAGATGAATCTAGGACAGCGGGCTGAAGATTCGCTAGCGAACGAAGACCCACTTAGCTTCGCGGAGGGAAAAAAAGGAGGAAAAAATAAAACGAAGAAGAGCGAGCGAAGTGCTCGCGAAGATTCTCAGGGCGTTCATGTTTCGTTAGGCAGATTGATATTTCATACACACGCGCTGCGAGCGCGCGCGCGCGCGCACACACACACACACACATGACTCCGTTTTGGAGCGATAGGCAGCTGAAAAAGCGTGTCTCTCGGCCGATATTGTCGCGCGCCAGCAGCAGTGCGGTTTCGCGTCCGGCCGGGGCTTCTCCGTCGGCTCGCTCGCCGTCAATGTCTTCATTGTCCGCGAAAGCGAGCGTGAGAGAATTCCGCCGCTCGGAATTCGCCGTCTCGCGAGCGCGCCGGCCAATTATTCCGGGGAGATTACCGTCGCAAAGCCTCGATAAGCTTCGCGCTGCCTTACGCTCGGCTGTAATCCTGCGTGCTCGCGCCACGATATTCAAATTGCCCCGCTCGCCGTCGGAAAAACTCGTCTTTGATGCCGTACTGCCGTGTGTAATCGATCCACTCCTCTCTCTCTCTCTCTCTCTCTCTCTCTCTTGCGACTGTCACTCGCGACGAGATGTCTTTCTTTTTTTTCCTTTTTCAAACTGCGACGCGGGCGATGAGCGTTCGTTAGCCGAGACGAGCGGAGTGCTCGAGGTTGCGCGGAGGCGTGCAAAATCTTTCCCCCGCTCGCGGAAATTAGAGCTTTCTCGAGTGCGCGGCAAAGTGATATTGCTCGAGTTGCCGCCGCGCTACTCGAGCAGATACAGCCCGTTTATACACTCCAACAAATATTTCTCTCGAGGGCGCTTCTTTCCTCCGCCCCCCGCCCTCCTCTTCGCGGCAATTCCTCAACGTGGAAAGCCTCAACGTGCCTTTTAATGCAAAATGTCGACGCTCGATTTTGCCAGCGTAAACAATTGACGATAGAACTGCTTGGCGTCATCGTTTAATGTCAACTTTCAGACACACGTGCTACACTGAGAGAATTGCTATGCTAAAGAGTTGTAGTAGATTTTGCTGTGAAACATAATAATCGTGGAAAATACTTCAGTCTTTACAAAACTGATTAATTTTTTATTAATTTCTAGCGTGGCCAAGATTATTTTTATATGACAACATTCAATAGTATCAAGTTATAATATTTGCGAAAAAAAGGATTATGAGAAGAATCATTTTTACAGTGAACCTAGCAAAAATTACTGTGGTCGGACCTAAGTTCCCAGCGCTTGCACATTGTTAATTTAATAATTTGCAGAGGCCACGCGTAGATGGCGGCTTTGTTCTCGTAAGTGGTAGAATGAACGTTTGGTTACTATATAAGTAAATATCAGTCTCAATCATGCATGAAAAAATGCGTGCAGTCAAGCGGCTAAGAAGCGAACTACGGGTACGAGGTTGACTTACAAACTAATAAGTGGATAAGACGCGTGCAATATGTGGATCTATGTGAGCTTCCACAATAATTGAAATCAAATGTCACGTGTGAATTTAGTTTTCTAAACTAGTGACATTTGCTATATACGTAGTAAAATTTAACTAGCTGATTTCCTACACTCTGTTTACAATATGATTACTTTGGATTCTGGTAAATTTGCTTCCGTTAGATAGGGACTTTTACTTTGGATCATGGCAATTTTTATAATGTCAATTCTCTCAGTGTGCGAATATAAATTTAGCGCGTACTCTCGACAAGTTGGGAATGAAAAAAGTATTCATACGCAAGGACGTTCCCACGCGATGATTTTATAAGCACGCTCAATGTGATTTAAATGAAAGTTAATTCGATTCCCTCTACTCAGAGAGAACATTCAAACGATATTGAATGTATAATTAAATTAGCTTGACTTTCAGGACGTAAAAAGAGCACACAACAGTGAGCACTCATTGCAGCACGGTATCAATGACGAGAAGCCCTCGACGCGAAATTCGACATTTTGCGCGATATGAACAATCGACTAGCGAGTAAAGCGACGGCGACATAAGCGAAAAAGAAAAGGAAGCGATAGGATTGTGCCGTGATAAAGCAGCTTCGCGCGGGTAGTTGTCGCCGCTTGTAAGACTTTGTTAAGCCCCCGTGTCTTTGCTCTCTCTTTCTCTACCGACAAGGGAGGACGCTAATCCAAGATTTATCTGGCGAAGCTTCGCCCGCATTTTTGGCTTCTCTCTCTCGCGTCGTTAAGGAGCCGCGTCAAATTAAAACACTCTGCTTAAGGCTTTTGACGAAGATTTTTGCGAGCGATAAATTTCCAGGCGGCGCAGTTAATCCCCGCGCCCTTAGGCGCGTGTACACGTGCCGTGCT